CACTTGGGTGCACTATACAAATCAACTGAAACCTCTTTAAGTAATCATTAAAAGCACAAACCTTTTCCATTTGACTCAGGCCACATTCTGACTATTTTTGACCCTTTCAGTATGAATATATCATAAAAAAATATTTTTATTAATAATTTTTCTTAATTCCGATTATTACATAATATTAAAATAAGAACTTACTATTGTATTAATACTATTGTAATGATAAAACAAAATAACATTATTTTAAAATGGTATTTCATTCAGCAGGCTTATAATTGCTTCTCACCACAAAATAAAAAAATAAAATAAAATTGTCTTGGGATACCAATACATGGAGGTTTTCACTCATATAAAAAATTATGAAATTAAAAATGGTCAGGCAACCAATATATTGTGCATCCCTTTATCTGACAGATCTAGTTAGTCATAAAATTAATCCACACCTCATTATTATTAGTCTATATATATTCTGTCTGGTAGAAAATGATTTGCAGTCAATGCAGAGCTTTAGAGTAGTATGATCTCTAATTTTCATTGGGAGTAAAAACAGTCTTTTAAACTCCCTGCAGCCTCTCAGAGCTGGAGACAGATATTAAAGTGTTTAAAGACAGTCTGCTGAAGATCCTGGATGAGGATGAACTGATAGATGAACTCTGTCTCACCAAATGGAGCGACCCGCAAGTGTTGTAGGTGTCACACCACAGAATCCAACTTCATAGCCATTAAGTTTCCAAATGCAACACATTTATATGTACACAAATATTCTTGATGTCAGTGAAAATATCTGATCATTGTTGTGTGGATCTGTTATCTGTTGGTGTGTCTGTCTTTGGACGTGGGTATGTCGGTGTATACGTTCACATGGAGCCAGTGAGGAGAGTAGTTTGGGTATAGATCACGCTGAAGAGATGGAGTTATTGCTGGAGAATTACTTCATGCAAGCAGAGGAGCTGGGAAACAAAGCCAGAGAGCTGAAAGACCTCATCGATGATTCTGAAAGCGTCATCTTCATTAACCTGGATAGGTACTGTACCGGCAGCAAACATAATGCTTTTAACTGCACTAGGGCTGAGCATTTCCAAGTACCTCATGATACAGTATTATCAAGATACTGTATATGCGTCACAATATTGCAACTGGATCATGATTGAAATTGTCGATTTTTTTATTTAACTGATATTTGAATTAGGTTTAAATCGCCGTCATGCATGAATGAATGATATTTTTGCAATTTTACAGATAATAATCCACGATGATCACATTACACAAAACTGAAATTGCACGTCAAAATATCACATTGTCAATATTTTTTGAGACCCCCCAAAATTTCACAAATCACGTTTTCAGGGGAGCCCATGTCTTATTAAGGGGAGCCGAGCTCCCCCTAGCTCCCCCGTAGTTCGCACCCTGGTTATCGGTCTGTTTGAGAACATGTTGTTTATTTGTGTGTGTGTGTAGGACCCGCGTATATTTTGGTTAGTGACAGGGTTCATGTTCCTGGGCAGTGGACTCATCTGGAGAAGACTTCTCTCTTTTCTGGGCCAGCATTTAGAACCCAGCTCTCCACCTCCTGTACGTAACACTCCTTCATGTTTACTATTTTTCTCTTCAACATTATAGTGATGATTGTCTATAAAAAAAACTGTTTTTACTTTCTTCTTTTTTTTTTTTTCAGATTTCCCCTGTATGGAGGAAAAACCAAATTGGCACCTTAAAAGCAACAGACATAAAAACCTGGAATTAGATGATAGGGTGACTGCTGTTTTTTCAATCTTTTTTTTTCCATCCTTCTCTGTATCTCTGACTTTTATGCATACTGTATTTTCCAGTATCATGTGCCGCACACCTCAGTCTAACTTAAAATTACATGTATCTATTCAGGTATATCATGTAGACATTTTTATTTTACTATGTGATATTTGTCTTGAGGTTTTGGAATAATCTCTGTATTTATTGTTGCGAATACCATTGACATAATGAAATACATCAGATAGCTTTTATTGACTGTAAAGTGTGTGTGACATTTTCAAAGACAAAATGATCTGCCACTAACTCAGTTTCCCTGGTTACCCTTTAAAAAACACGTTTATGAATACATAACTTTGATAAAAAGTTAATTTGTTGTGGGCTCTTTATTTTAGGCATGTAGAATAAAAAAATAAATGTTTTTGAGTTCTAATGCACTTGTGTATACATTGTTTAAACTTTGAGTTCTTATTAAAATGCTTTGAACCTCTATTTGCATCAAGTGCTCTATTAATGAAGTGTATAGTGCATTATTTAAAGTGTGCTTGTACTTCACTCATATCAGGACAGAACAGCAGGGGGAGACAAACCCCCACTACACCAGTTCCTTCCACACTTCATTATTTTTATTCCCCAAAATATTCACACAGATAGGTTGTATATCTCAGAAGACAACATTACAAACATCATCTTACTAATTAAAAATGTTTAAGCATTCCAAAAATAACATACAAACACAGAAAAAAAAGTTGAAACGTGTTTTGACGTGTAGTGATTACACTGGCATAGAAATGACAATGACTAATCAACCACATTTTGAGTTAAAATAACAGGGCTGTTAGTGTTACTAGTGTAAAGACATGACAAATATGGGATGACATTCAAATAATGCAAGAAGATTTCAAAATCTTTGCCATTGTGTTTTTTCTGTTGATGACTGGTGGCTGATTACCACATTTGTGGGTTATTATAGAAACAGTTGCAACAAACAACATAAATAAAACAATAGTAACTATGATAAATTGTAATTTTTTTTTTACTTTTAGCACTGCTTGAGTGGGTTTGCAATTGGAATTTTGATTTACATCGTCTGTGTAAGATGGTTGGTGGTAGACAGTTTATAGTTGGTGGTTCTCAACCAGGAGGTCATGGCAGCAAATGTGAAGATTATTGAACTTTACTTATAATCTAAATACTAAAAAAAAAAAAAAACTGGCATAATATTTTTAAACTTTTATTTATTTTTATTTTATCAGATGTAGGCTACATAAGATGACAAGAGGTCCTTCGATTGTCTCAGACAAAGGTGTTCTTGGGAGTCAAAAAGGTTAAGCATCACTTATCTAAAGTGGTAGACCCTTCTAGACCAGCAACTAACTAGTTACCAGCTTGTCATGCCAGTTTGAAGCTGTTTTTTCCTGGACCAGAAAAAAATTAGCTGCGACTACTATTGGACCAGCTACCAACACTGACGCTCTTCTGTCTCGGAGCCAAGTAAGCTTCACACAGACCAAATTTTGACCGGAAATTCCGTCAAAATGATGTTAGTGTACTAGGTTTTGAGACAAAACCTCTTACTGGTCCAAGTGTTCGTCAACTGTGACGCAAAAATCCTCCCCCGTCTGTCTCTCTCTCT